CTGCTCTGGTTGTCAACCGTTAAGCTTCTTACTTAAGTCTTTGTGCACATTCTAGTAAAAAAATATTTTACGGGGAGAAATATTCAGAATGTTTAATAAAAGGGGTCACTAGAATAGGATGTCAAAGATATGGCATTATTTGCGTTAGTAAATGTTCTCATAGTGTTGGCCTAGTATTACTAACTCTTATTAGTAACCCAGGAACAACATTGCCTATAAGTTACTCACGATCAACACAGTCTACTAGTGACACTTCACTGAGTACATAACGATTAACAAATACACATTGAATGCTTTTCATGGCAGCCTATTGATTTTCGATAACGACAACTCAGACTTGATATAAGATGTGAAGTGTTATGATGTTGATTTGTGGTTAGTAGAGACAAATGCCAAATAACACGTAACTATAAAAAGGGTTTTAATAGGTTGGTAAAAAGGTACAGAAATCGCCTGAGTAGTCAATAACTAGCTCAGCTAAGAACTTCTCTGTCTATCTGTCTTAGTATTTATCGATCCACCCACGAGGATTGAATATGGCACAAGGCCGGTTTTAATGTGGGTATTCCCGAGCCCGTAGGCTCGGCCAAAAATATAGCCTTTGAACCCGCCTAGACGGGTTCAGGCCCTGTCTACCTCCCCGGACGAAACCTTGCCCTTCTGCAAAGCTTCGTCCGGGTTCCTCTCTGCTAACGCAGAGAGTTCGACAAACGTCGCTTACAGTCAAAGACTGTATCACGACTCAGCTAGACTCGGAGGTCTTACCCTCTCTGTCTATCTGTCTTGGTATTGGTATTGGTATTTATCGATCCACCCACGAGAACCGAATATGACACAAGACTCGGAGGGCTTACCCTCTCTGTCTATCTGTCTTCTATTAAAATATTTATTTTAAATTATTATTATTATTATTATTATTATTATTATTATTCTTTCGCCATTCACCCCCTACCTCTACCATTTGCCCTCATCTTCCGTGGTCGTGTGCCAGAGTCTGGGTCTCCGGAAAAGGTTTCTTGGTGTGCTCATGATGTGGCGAGCCTTAAGCGTTTTAATCTGGCGGAGCCTATCCCTCTCCAGGATTTTAATTAACGCATTGAAATAAAAAAAAATAAAGCCAGGGATAATTCCACATACACAACAAGTTTATATATTTATTAATAAAAATGACAATAGGAAAACTAGTAATTGCTAAAATTCATTTTTTATTCATAAATAATATCTTCTCAGGTTAAATCGGAGAAAATTTCATCACAAGTTTTATATATATATATATATATATATATATATATATATATATATATATATCTACGAAGAAATATTTTCAACCTCCAACCTCTTTTTTTTCACTGGTGGGATGTGGCGAGTCTCTCACTGTTCTGTCGTTACTTCCATGGAAAGTGGTTCGGACGAACTACATTTTGGTTCCGTCAGGTCTAACTTTCACGGTTAGTACCCACCATTCCACTTACGTTTTACCATCCCACTTACATTTTACCATTCCACTTACATTTCAGCAACCCACTTGCATTTTACCATTCCACTTACATTTTACCATTCCACTTACATTTTAGCAAACCACTTACATTTTACCATTCCACTTACATTTTACCATTCCACTTACATTTTACCATTCCACTTACATTTTACCATTCCACTTACATTTTACCATTCTACTTACATTTTACCATTCCACTTACATTTTCTCTGTGTTCCATCAGCGAGAACTTTCCACTATAACAGCTTCTTCCCACGAACCACTGCCCCGTGGAATAAACTCCAAAGAATCGGTTCCACAAAGTATCGGTTAGTGGGAAGAATCTGCTCGAGTAAAACCTACGTCTCACTAATGGAAGTTGAAGGGAATGAGTGTGGTTGGCTACAATATGCGTGGTATGGTGGGCCTTAGCCGCGAAGAGTTGAACTGGTGGAGCTAAGGAATGGTGTTCGTCTGAGAACTTTCCATGGAAACAGAAGAATAAATTTATTGAAACAAAACAAGTTCAGTTGATCATTGATGACAATTCCAGAACAACGTAACTATAAACAATTTTTTTGCTATCCTCTGCCAGCCGCAATGATGGAGAAAGCATTACTAAGAACCATCGCCATTGAGACACGTTGCAAGAGCCACTCCGTTTCGCGAGGCTCGTTCATTAATCGAGACGCAATCGCGCCAATCCTCCGAACGAACGCCATCGAACGAGGGCCCATAACCCCTGAAGTGTCCACTGCCACAGGAGTAAAAAAAAAATCTATCAGCAAAAGGACCCCGGCTCGGATCAACCGCAGACCTGATCAAATTACCAGCCGAAAATGTATCAGCACAGGTCGCATTCCAAATCAACGACTTCCCCATTTTAAAAAAGAAAATGGTAAGGCCATCCGGCCGCTTTCCATCACCGTGGTCGAGGCCTATGGAAATAGCGATAGAGTAGTGAGATCACTGCAATTTTAAATTGTCCAAGTCAAGAGTTAACCGTTATCTTCCCCTCCTATC